TCCTACAGGTGGTGGTTTTTATTACATTTTCAATAAGATATCCGTCTTAATAATAAGTTTTTTTTTTTTTTTTGTATTAAAACTTTTTAATAATTATAATATTTGTTTTACTTTTTCCTTTTCCTTTTTGTAAACTTTTTTTTTTTTTTTTTTTTTTTTTTTTTAAAATTCATCGTTATTTAATTTATTTAATTTTTTACACTTAAATTAAAAAGTTTTTTTTTTTTTAGTATAAAATAAAACTAATAAATTAAATCTTAAGTTAATAATAATAATTTTTTTTTTTAAAATTTAACTTACGACAAATAAAAGTTAATAATAAAATTATAGTATTTTTTATTATTTTGTGTTTTAAATATTTGGAACCAAAAGTTTATAAGAAACTTTTTTTTCTTTTTCTTTTCTAAAGTAATATTTAATATCTTTTTAGTTTTAAAAGGTAGATAATTATTAATAATAATAATAATAATAATAATGAAACTTACCTATCTCAATGGTAGGCGGTACCATTTTGTGGTAAAGCAGGCAACAGTTAAACGACTTTATGACGTCATAACATAATGTCTTCACATTAACGGATTTTCAACAACTACTACTTGTTCACTTATCATTATTATTACTATTTTTCTTTTATACATATATATAAATACACTTTATTATTTTCCGAATTCGTTGCGGGGGAAAAATGAATCTGAAAAGAAAAATTTTTTTTTGTTCAGAATTATTTAAATACAAAATAAAAAAAAAAAAAATGGCGTCACATGTAAATATTATTTTTTACTACCTCTCGTTAATAAATGGATTTTGTTATCATAATTATTATTTAAATATTTTTTATTAAAAAATACTTAAACATAAAACGTTTGATTTTTAATTTTATACTTAACGTATTAATTTGTTTAAAAATTTTTAAATTCCATTAATGCTTGTAACGTTTAAATAAATAATTATGAAATTTACGTATTTTATACATTGATACATAGTTTTTAAAAAAAACCTTGAGCTTTATTATTATTTTATTATTAGAAAAGCTTCGTACTGCGTCGTAATATTAATTAATATTTTAATAAAAATAATAATAAGAATAATAACTATTTTGATATTAAAAATAAAAATAAAAAGAAATAAAATGAAAATGTCGAAATTAAATTTGATCAGTCATCCATTTTGAAATTTTAAAATATTTATTAATTACAAAACTTTATATTTATATAAAATAAAAAGATAGTAACAGTTTGCGCGGGAATGTATTTTTAACATATGATAACCTTTTACCCCATTTAAATAAACATTAATATTTAATTTTTTTTACGTTTAAAAAATTAAATTATATACATTTTTTTTAAAAAGATAACGATTCGTAATTGCAAAAAAATAAAATTTTATTATATAAAATTTTAACAAACCTAGTCATCTAATAATTTTCAATTTCTTCTTCTTTCATTTTTGTAATTTTAATATTATTGTTGTTAGATTTTTATTTTATTTTTATATTCACGACGTTTGAACACGGGTCACGTGATTTTCACAAATTTTTTATCTATACGTAATAATTAATTAAATAAATAAATTATTTTACCGTTATTAATAATTATTTCGGATCGATGAAAATTCATTTGAAATTTTTTTTTTATTATTAAAATTAAATTAAATAATAATAATTGAAAAAAAAAAAAAAATTATATAATTGTCAAATCGTTGTGAATATAAGAAAAAATAAAACCCGTGCAGTAAAATCGACCGTTGCTGGAAGCTTTTTCAACCTCCCAGTAACCTCCACCAACGCCGCCGCATTTCCCTACTCCTTACGAGTTTCAACAGTAATTTTGCCCCTCGACGCTTAAAGCTTCAAACTTTGCGTCGCCAAAAAAAAAATTATTTTTTTTATATTTTGGCGTCTGGTTCTCTGTTATTTTTTTAAATTTTCAAATTAACTTTTTTTTTTTGTTTTCAAACGAAATGTTTTTTAAAAAATTTCCCCCCCCCCCAAAAAAAAAAAAAATAACAAATGGATATTCATGAATTCGTTGTAATTTAAATTTTTTAAAAAATTAAAATTAATAAATTTTTATATGTATCAATCAATTATTTTTTCCCTATTGATAATTTAATCACGTGACTAAAATATAATTTATTGAAATTAAATTATTTATTTTTTTTTATCCGAATTAAAGTTGTCTTCTTCCCATAAATCCTTATTGAAAAAATAAAAAAATCGAGTTTTCGTTTTTTCTTTATAAAACATAATTTCTTATTCTTAGCTTACACGTAATACATCATTTTAAAATAAATTAGTATAAAAAAAATTTATATATTTTTTTTTT